AAAGCTCTCTTGAGAAACTCGTCAGGCGCAAGCTCCCAGAGAAGGCGGGTGTACACCAACGTCGGGTCCTCATGCCAGTCAAGAGTCGAGCGTAGCACGTCTTCCTCTGTGGAGAAAGGGGCGTTCGGAAAAAGTTGCGGCATCGTGTCGCGAAGTTCACTGTGTGCGGAAAACACAGGCGTTTCATCCGTGATGTGCAACTTCCGCTTAAGACGGCGATTTCTTCGATACGGCGGTGGTAGCATCGCCTGCGCTGCAGAGAGACCACCTATTCGTGTGGGTGGTGTCGTGGCATCTGCTGTGGCGTCACCTAACCTCCTCCATGCCGCATTCTTCTTCGATTTGCCAGTATCTGCTTCACGGTTTTGGTTTTCCGCCGATGGTGTGAATACTTTCACCTTACTCTCAGATTCCACTCTGTTAGAGGCGGCATCGGAGTCACCGCCATCGGCTTCCTCCAACTCTTTCTCCTCGCCCGCCGCCGTTTCGCCTCCGCCTTCGCCTTCGCCGTCGCTCTTTGCCTCCGCCTGTGGCTTTGACAAACAAGAGGAGGTGGAGGAGGAGGACGCGACATTTGACTCCCTTGTGGCCGTCCCACCGCTCCGCTGCGTGAGGGAGCTCGCGGACGGCACACTGCTCAAAATGCTACGCGGGTCCCCACCTGGTGGGAGACTAGTGATGACATGCACGCTATTACTTCCCGCTCGAGCCATTTTGATCAATGGATCTCTTGTATAAACCAGGTAACTAGATGGCGGTGAGACGGCGGCAAGGTTTGCGGCACCTCGGCGGGTGTGCACCCCGCTACTGCTGTTCGGGATGAGCGTGACACTTCTGCTGTTGTCTAACCAGACGACATCGGCTGTCGGCACGGCGGAGGGTGGTGGCAAAGCTGCCAGGTCTTTGGGTGGTTTGATGACAGGCTCCCATCCACGCATCCGTTTCAGCGCTCGCTTCGACGGTTTCGTTGTGGGTGCGGGTGGATCATTGGCTGACGGCAGAAGCTGCGCGGGAGATTGTTCTCCGCACGACTCGCATGCTTGATGCTCGGCGGTATCCTGCAATGGCGTCGTCGTTTCGGACTCTATTGGTTTAGGTTTCTCATCGGCCCTTTTTTCTACAACTTCTCTAGCCTTACATCCCGGACGCGTGGCGCTGCGCCTTGACCCCATGCCACGTGTTCTGTTGAGGAGTCAAAGGCGTGAGAATGGCACAGTTGTGCGTATATATGTGTGTGTGTCACGAATGAGAAGAGATGAGAAAAGAGAGGCTCAACTTTTTAATTCATGGCTGCCGGATCACCGCCAGAGAGCAAAAGATAGATAGATAGATAGATAGATAGACACACACACATATATATATATATATATATATATATATGTTGAATGCGCTTCGTCTCCATTCTGTTTCAAGGACCCGCGCAGAGAACCCCCAATTCCCCACCCCTTCTGGCCAGAGAAAATGTCCCTCTTTGGTTTTTAGATCAAATGCCCCTCCGGGATATTTGAAACCGTTTATACGCCCCAGCTGTAATGACATTTCCCTGCGCATCCTGCATCTCCTCTCCCTCCTGTTCCTCGTGGAGGCGCTTGCGGAGGCTTGAAGTGCTGCTTAGTACCTTGTCCCGCATCTCAATGACCTTCCGAATAGATGAAATTCCTGCATATTCCTTCAAATGCACCGTTACCCCTAGCCGGCGGAGGCCTTCGGCGTGACGCTCTGCCCCAAAATGTTCCTTGAAAGCCTTTGGGCCAACGTACACTGTCCCCCCGCAGACCTCGCAGTAAAATTTTTTGTGGAGCTGCTGCAGGTGTATAAGCCACTGCGCGACAGGCTTCCCATCCCGGTCAAGTAACTGGCCGCCGGTGTCATCCACAGCGGGAGCATTTTCATTCGGCTGATTCAACTCACCGGTTGAATTTAATGTAGTCATGACATCATACTGGGCGGCCTGTGCGACGCTGCCCTCCACCGTTGTGGCGCTCTTCCTTCTTGCTTCCTCCAACGATTGTAAAAACTCCTCCTGCAGACGCTTGCGCTCCCACTCCAGCTCCTCCGCCGTCTTGCTGTAGTCACGCAGAAGGACTTTTTCTGTCTCCTGCAGGGTGTCAAAGAGTAGTGTCTGCAGCAACTTGGCAATTTTGCCCTCAGCGTGGATCACCGCCTTGACGTCCGCCAAGGAGGGGCCAGCGCCCGTTCCGTCCGCCGTCATAGACTCCAGGTATGTAATGGGCCAGAGTGCGAATGCCTTTGTGTACTTACGAAGCGGGGGTGGTACAATTAACGATGAGGCAGTCTTATCCGTGGAGCCCACAACACTGTTCCCGCTAACACTCTTCACCACCGCCTTCTTATGTTCCATTAGCTTTGACCAATATTCCTCCGCGTCGGTGTCACACCTAGCAAGGGATGAGAGCAAGACCTCCTTTTCCGTTATCTTCGCGCGATCATGGAAGCTGATAAGGTACGCCAAAAGTTCGTCAACAAACTCCTTGTACTTTGAAAATCCATACACCTTCCGGTGGGCATCAATGTCGTTTAGAATAATGTCTGGGATGGTGGGGATAAACGCAAAATACTCCACACGTCCTTTCCACGCGCTTCCAACAGCGTTGCCCTCGTCTTGAGCCCGTTTGCTCGTGGTTAACATGAAGTTGCTGTAGTGGTGGTAGTGTGGCTCCAAGTCGAGGCAACTGCCGTAGCGTTCCCCCACGGAGAAGAGTTGCTCCATTGCCGCCGCGTTGGGGTGGTCCAAGTCCGTCTTGACTGGCGGCAGGTCCCGAAACGTACGGTGGTACTCACGAATGTCGGCGATCTGTGCCTCAAACTCCTTGAGGGCGGCACTCAGCACGTCGTCGCCCTCGGAAGGGGCCTCCTGCACGGCGACAATGTCGTCCTGGTCGAGGTACAAGTCAAGCAGTTTGTCGGCAATGGGGCGAATCGCCTCCGCCTCCTCCGTAATGAAGTGATCGCGAAGGATCTGGTGACGTTTATTGCTGACATCCGCGAGGAGCTTCTGCTGCACAATGTTGTCAATGTGATGCTCAATGTCGGCCTCAAACAGTCGGATTTTCTCTAGCACCCCGCCCAACATATTTTTATTTCTCTCCCTATTTATCCCACGTCGCTTAGCTGCTTGCCTTCCCCCCTCCTCCCCCGTCTTGTCGGAGCCCTGCGCCCTCGCTCCCTCTATTGGTGTGTGTGTGTGTGTGTGCGTGCGTGCAACGAAAGGAGTGAGAAAGAAAAACATAGAAGCGGCAGTCATCCCAAACACTGGGGGCAATACAAATAAATTCCTCACTGCAGAGCGCATGCCGCCACGGAGCGAAGAGGGGAATGAATTTGGATAAATAAATGGAGGATTGCATAGCCAACACGCACACCCATCACACATCAATACAGAAAGACCCAGCCATGAATGAAGAAAAGAACACAAATCAACGTGGCCCTCGTTTTCTTTGTCTCTTACCTGCATTTCTCGCTCTATCCATCATGTTTTTTTTCTTCNCTCATTTTCCCTCTCTACTTCCAGGTATTCTCTCTCTGCCTCTATATATATATATAGGTGTGTGTGTGTGTGTGTG